CTGGTGTAACTGATGTTTTATTGCTTCCGCTCTATCCTCATTTTGCGATGAGCAGTTATGAAACGGCGGTTGCCGATGCGCTGGATGACTACCATAAAAACGAGTATCGCTTCCGTGTCAAAACAATGAAGCCTTACTATAACAACAGCGGCTTTCTCCATGCATTAAGCAGCAGTATCCGGCCTTATCTAAACAGCAGTTATGATCATGTACTGTTCAGCTATCATGGCATACCGGAACGCCATGTGCGCAAGAGCGATCCTACCGGCAGCCATTGTCTGCAATCGGCAGATTGTTGCACTACTGCGTCCACGGCTCATGCAACCTGTTATCGTCATCAGTGTTTTTACACGACTACAATGGTCGCCCGGCAGCTTGACTTAAAGGAAGGCAGTTTTAGCTCTTCGTTCCAGTCGAGGTTGGGACGTGATCCCTGGCTGCAACCTTATACGGCGCCGCTGTTATCCACACTACCCGGAAAGGGTATTAAAAAACTGGTAGTTATCTGTCCTGCTTTTTCAGCCGACTGCCTGGAGACGCTGGAAGAAATGGATGTAGAAGGCAAACAGCTTTTCCTGGATGCGGGCGGAGCATCATTTACCCGTGTGCCTTGTCTTAATACCCACGATCTTTGGGTAGATACCATCTATGGCTGGATACAGGACATCAGGTCCGGCAATCAGGAGCTGATCGCTTAAAACACCGGATCATGTATTCTTATATCAAAGCGCTGCACATCATTTTTATAGTCACCTGGTTCAGCGGCATGTTTTACATCGTGCGCTTGTATGTATACCATACCGAAGCTGGTGAAAAACCGGAGCCGGAGAAAACCATCCTCCAACATCAGTTGCGTTTGATGATAAAACGGCTGTGGCTGGGCATTACCTGGCCTTCGGCGATCCTCACCCTGATCTTTGGTCCGGCAATGTGGTATATGCTCGGCGTTACGCCCGACTGGTTATTGATAAAGCTGTTTTTTGTGGCCGGTCTTTATGGATATCATGCCTCCCTGCACCTGCTTTATAAACAGCAGACAAACGGGATCTTTAAATACTCTTCCCAACAGCTTCGTATCTGGAACGAGGTGGCTACTATTTTCCTGGTTGCGATTGTGATGCTGGCCGTTGTTAAACAGAATATGAGCTGGGCCTGGGGACTGACCGGGCTTGCTGCTTTTATTATTCTACTGATGAGCGCTATCCGGCTGTATAAGCGGTTGCGGAAAAAGAGCTGAGCGTTTCATGAATGCAACAAACCAGTCAGGCAATCACCCCTGTTCCAC